CTGTGGACTCAGGCTATCACCAAGAAGAAAACAGTGACATACAGAGCTCCAGAAAAGATTCAGTGTAGGGAAATCAACATGGCCACCAGGGGCACACACACATTTAGTGGTCCCCTGAAACACAAACCTGACCCTAGAAATGCCCCTGACTCATGCCCTCATCTCAGCCTCCGGTAAAAATCAAAACTGCCTCCATAAAGGGCCTGTCATACCCCTAGGCCCTAACCCTAACCCTAGGTTGGTTTCTGAGAGGTCCATCCACAGAATCCTGACTCCAAAGCCCCAGGTACTGGGGACACCTGAGCAATACCAGAGGACTCAGCACGTCACCCAGAAGGAAACTGTGCCATTTGGAACTCCAGAAGGGATTCAGATTAACAGAAACCTGCATGTGCAGCTGCGGCCACCCCTACATTTACCCAGCCCATGGACACAAACCCAGAGCCTGACCCTCACCCTGAACTTGGCTCTCAATTCAGTTCTCTGTGAAGATCAAAAGAGCTCTGGCAGACCTGGTCTGCCATGACCCTAGGCCCTAACACTTACCATAGTGTCATTCCTGAGGATTTTGTAACAAGAGATTTCATGGGGTTTTTTAAAAGACAGACTACCTCAGCCTTGTCCTAGTGAAACCCAACCTAATAAGGTCATTGTTAAAGATACAAAACCAACAGCTGGATAAATCAGAAAAATGAGGCCCAACTTTCACTGAAATCAAGTGGCATTTACCTGCAGTTTAAACGGCTCTCTAACATTTGTATTTCGTTGGTATGAGAGTTCTAACAGAACCCTAAAGCGATTACATAGAACACCAAGGCTTTTTAATAGCCTTTTAACTTAGCAAGCCATGGTAATTTAAAAGGGAACGGATGAACTGCTAGAAGCAAGGAGATTTCTGCTGAAGAATACAAATGCATTCTCTGCTATTGCTTCTGCCTCTTGCTGGAGAGAGGCAAAATGCACACATGCATATGATGGAACTTTCCAGTTGGTAGTTTTGCATTATCAGGAAGGAAAGTGATTGTGAAAATGAAAATTACTGATAATTAGTTGTGAATGCCTGTAAGGGAGAAAAATGGAGAAACATTGCAGAATTTTTATTTATATCAAGGGCTGAACCTCGTGGGTGGCCATTTGAATTGGTATAATCTTTTGGAGGGGATTTTAGCAAGGTGCAGACGCTTTGATTCAGCAATTCCACGTCTAGGAATCTACTTTATAGCAATATTTGTACATGTACACAAAGGTCTATGTATGAGGAATATTCACTGTAGCATTGTTTGCATGTATGAAAAAAGAAAATAACCTCTGTAACCATTTTGAAAATATTTAAACAAATAATGGCATATCCATATTTTAGAAAAATTTGCTGCTAATGGATGGAATGAGATGAACCTATATATTTGACACAGAAACATGTTTCTGATATGTTAAGTGAAAAGGGCACACTGCTAAACAGTATCTAGTATTTTAAGTTTTTTAAAATTTAAAAACTTTTTAAAAACATTTTCAAATGTTTTTAATGTTAACAGATATGTAACAAATATCTGGAGGAATAGGTACCAAAGATTATCAGTGGCTATCTCTGGGAGATGGTATAATAATTTTGTAATGTTTACACTTTTATGAGCATAGATTACTTTGCAAAGAAAAGGGAAAAAAACAAAACAAAGTTATTTCCTCAAGGGAAGAACAAAAGAAACATGGCTGGCAGAGATCTATTCACTGTATTTATGTGAAAGGTTTTAGTGTAATTCTGCAGTTCTGTAATTTCAGATTCCAGTAATCTGGGCAAGGGTGCTATTTGGTCGGAATGAACCCAAATGACTGTGCTCACACAGGGAGAATGAGACGCAGTCCCTATTCTGGTCTCTAGCTTGTCCCTTTGGCTAGTGCTGCTGCTCGTCAAACTTGGCTGACAGAGTAGAAGTAGCTGCTTTTCCTTTTCCTTTTCTTGTCTCACGGGCCACCCATTTTAGAAGGCGCTAAAACACAGTGGTAAAGAACCTGGCCTTTGGAGTTCCCGAGCCTTGGGTTCAGATCCCGATTTCACCATTCTCCTAAGTGTGTGACTTTGAGAAATTTGCTTCTCCTGTCAGGACCTCTGTTTCCTCACGTGAAAAATGAGGATTCTAGACATCCTGCCTACTAGGGTCTTTCAAATGATGAAAAGAGAATAGAAAATGCATGGAAATTTATCTTGATGAGCCCTGAGTAATACATGGAACTGTTGAATCACTATGATGTACACCTGAAACGAATATAACACTGTGTGTTAGCTACACTGGAATTAAAATTTTAAAAAAAGAAAGTGCTTGGGAATAATAAATATATAAACAAGTATCACCTATTATTGTTATTGTCTTGCCCTATCAATTCTCTCTTGATAGAATCTCTTCCATCTACCTTCTGCCTGATAAACTCCTACCCATTCCTCAAGCCCTGGCTCAGATACCATCCTTGCAAAACCTCCTCTGGTCTCTCCCCACACACCCAGAGCTGATTAACACTCCTTTGTCAGCATCCTGGGTACCCCAGCTTCATTTGCGTGTGACGTTCTGGGTTTTCTTATGTGTCTCCTTTACAGACCCTGACCTCCTGCAAGGCATCAGCCCTGGTCTAGCCATCTCAAATCCTCAGCACTTACCTCAGTGCGGGGCTCAAAGTTTGAATTCACATAACCTTTATTTCAACTTGAATTAATCCCCTCCCTGCCTCTATTACCCCTGGCCAGTCATCTTTCATTCCTGGTGAAACTATGGTAACAGCATCCTAACTGCTCTCCCTCCCAATCCAGGCTGACGTTCAGCTCTGAATTTTAGCTGCACTTTTGCCACAGGCTAATGTGATCTAAGCACACTGCTTTCTATCTCTAACATTTAGCTTCCTTATCTGTATATTTGCAAATGACATATCAGATAAAGGGCTAGTGTCCAAAATCTATAAAGAACTTAGCAAACTCAACACCCAAAGAATAAATAATCCAATCAAGAAATGGGCAGAGGACATGAACAGACATTTCTGCAAAGAAGAAATCCAGACGGCCAACAGACACATGAAAAAGTGCTCCACATCACTCGGCATCAGGGAAATACAAATCAAAACCACAATGAGATACCACCTCACACCAGTCAGAATGGCTAAAATTAACAAGTCAGGAAATGACAGATGCTGGCGAGGATGCGGAGAAAGGGGAACCCTCCTACACTGTTGGTGGGAATGCAAGCTGGTGCAACCACTCTGGAAAACAGCATGGAGGTTCCTCAAAATGTTGAAAATAGAACTACCCTATGACCCAGCAATTGCACTGCTGGGTATTTACCCTAAAGATACAAACGTAGTGATCCGAAGGGGCACGTGCACCCGAATGTTTATAGCAGCAATGTCTACAATAGCCAAACTATGGAAAGAACCTAGATGTCCATCAACAGACGAATGGATAAAGAAGATGTGGTATATATACACAATGGAATACTATGCAGCCATCAAAAGAAATGAAATCTTGCCATTTGCGACGACGTGGATGGAACTAGAGGGTATCATGCTTAGCGAAATAAGTCAATCGGAGAAAGACAACTATCATATGACCTCCGTGATATGAGGGAGAGGAGATGCAACATGGGGGGTTAAGGGGGTAGGAGAAGAGTAAATGAAACAAGATGGGATTGGGAGGGAGACAAACCATAAGTGACTCTTAATCTCACAAAACAAACTGAGGGTTAATGGGGGGAGGGGGATTGGGAGGGGGGGGTGGGATTATGGACATTGGGGAGGGTATGTGCTATGGTGAGTGCTGTGAAGTGTGTAAACCTGGCGATTCACAGACCTGTACCCCTGGGGATAAAAATATATTATATGTTTATAGCTTCCTTATCTGTAAAATGGAGACAATAACCTCCTCCCAGCCAGTAGTGGAGGAGACTCAAGGAAAACTGCATGTGAAGGGCATCAACATTGCCCAGATTTGGCCATTGCTACTTCTGCTTTTTGCTTACTTATTTATTTACTTTGGTGAGGGAAGGAGAAAGGGGGGCAGAGGGAGAGAGAGAATCTGAAGCAGGCTCCATGCCCAGTGCAGAACCAACAGGGATTTCCATCTCAAGCCCCTGAGATCATGACCTGAGCTGAAATCCAGAGTCACCCAGGCGCCCCACTATTTCTGTTTTTTGAAAGGCAGTGTACACCAAGGAAGAAGAAAAGAGTATCTGAAAAGTCTCTGTCCTGGAAGTTAAAGTACATCCTGTGATTTTGAACAAGTTTCTCTAGTTATACCTAAACAGGTGAGCTCTCTCGTGGGGCCTGTTTCCTCCAGAAATTGCATTTGATATGTTGCTCCTGCTGTGAGGAGCACGGCTCCTCAGGCAAAGAGGCAAAGACTCTTCTCTACCCTTAGAATTAAATACAAATATCAGAGAATATTGGTGCAGTCCTTTATCATTCATGGAACACTTTCATGTCCATCATTGGATTTGAAAAGGGCTTTTGTGGGGGGGAAAAAATCACAGCCAAATTTAAATAGTGATAATTTCTGGATGGTGGAATTTGGCATGATTTTAATTTTATGTGTGCTTTTCTAAACCTTCAAAATCTTCGATTTTGGAGCTGCTTGGAGATGATGGTTGTATTACATTGTGAATGCACTAAATGCCACTGAAGTGCACATAAAGTGCACAATTTTATGTTAGTTTTGTGAATTCCACCTTATAAAAAAATTTCTGCCATACAGATGCATGACTTTACAGCCATTCACTGAAATGTGTTTGAGTCGAGAACAAAAACGGATTCTTCCAATTTTAGTACATGTGCTGCCGAAGCGAGCACCAAAAACGGATTCTTAAGCCTCAAAAGCAGTTCAATTAGCTGACACTCTCTGCACCCAAGTCTCCAAGTCACGGGTCGAGGCAGCCAGCCTGCAGAGCGCTCCTCCGACCGCGAGGGGTCTCCGCAAAGCCCTCGCGTCCCCACCCGCGGAGGAGCGTCTTCTCTTGCGCCTTTGAAGCGCGTGTGCACGCGAGAGGCGTGGTGAGGATTGGCCTCTCCGCCCGCAAGAGTGCCCCCTGCTCCGGCGTGGACCCGTGCGGTTCCTCAGGCTTCGGCGGGGTGTGGCTTTTGGCCCGAGTTCTCACCGGTCCCTTCATTTCCCACCCGTGGCTGCAGCCTTCTGCTGTCCGGGGCGTCCCCCAACTTCCATCTCCCCACCCTGAACCAGCTGCCCCAGTATCGGTTCCCCGGCCCGCTGTCCTCTGCCCTTCCTGCTCCGCGAAGTGTCTCTGTCTCTGATCCTCGGCCCAATGGCGCTGCAGGCCCTGCAGAGCTCGGGGGTGGCCTTCCGCAAGATCCTGTCTCACTTCCCCGAGGAGCTGAGCCTGGCTTTCGCCTACGGCTCCGGGGTGTACCGCCAGGTGGGGCCCAGTTCAGACCAGAAGGTGAGCTGGCCCCGGGGCAGGCACCACGCTGGGAATCGGCCTGTTCTCACGAGGTCCTTTTTGCCCTGGATCCCTCCAGAGCCCTAGAGCTGCCCCTCTACTCTGCGCACTTCCCGTATCCACCAGCAAAATACGAACCGTAGGAAAGTGTACCTGGTATGACATCATGAGCTGAGTTTTGAAGGCTAAGTAGGAGCTCACTTCGGTCTAGAACAGGAGATGCAATTATGCGGAGGGCAAAGCTGATGGAGAGGCAAGATGGAAGACAGGAAATAATTTGCCTGTTAGTGTCCTTAGCCTTGGCTGAACATTGGGGTTTTCTGAGAACTTTAAAATGCTGATGCCTGGGTTCCACTTGTGGAGATTCTGATTTACTTGGACTGGGAGAAGACCTGGGCTTCGGGAATTTAAAAAAAAAAAAACTTACCTGGTGAGTCTAATGAGTAGCCAAATATGAGTCTCATCTATAGCTGTGGGAGAAAGTACGAGATGATGGCAGGTGGTTGTAGGGCCAGGGCAGATGCAGTGAAGTTACCAGCAAAAGTTAGTGGATGACCAGTATATTTACGCAGGCAAGTTAGTGGATGACCAGTATATTTACGCAGACAAGTTAGTGGATGACCAGTATATTTGTGCACGCTCAGGACTTAACAAGAGTCTATTTAGGACTAGGAGTTGTTACTTTTCAAAGTTGCCTGAGTGCAATAGCAGTGAGGATACAGTTTTCCTTATGATTGCAGACTTTCTTCTGTCGATAGGGGGGGGAAGTTTGCTTCCAAGGTGGAAGCAAGATTCAAGACAGATAGAAGTGGAGTAGCAAGCAAATATTTTCCTTTAAATGAGGCTGTTACTGACTTTCTCCACTCAGGCTTTAAAGCTTTTGCTAAATCAACATAAAAAGAGCAAGAATCTAAATAGAGATGTTTTCTGGTGAACTGGATTTTTATTTGCTGTGGTTAATGCCCCGCCTAACAATTCATTGTCACACAAACTAAGGAAATGATTGCAATGGGTCCTCCTTGATTTGGACACCTGACTGTAATCTGTTTTTAGGTTAAGGTTTGCCTGTTCACTTACTGGTAAGGCCATCTATACAGTTGCTTGAATTTCTGTTTTCCCAACTATACAGTATTTAAGTAATGCTTTGCTTTAAGTTGACAACATATGAAAATTTATAGATTGTAGGTATATAAGAAATTATAGATTATTGTAGGCTAGTTGTTTTTTCTAACATACATTAACATAATTACACATTTTTTTTAAAGATTTTATTTATTTGACAGACAAAGATCACAAGCAGGCAGAGAGGCAGGCAGAGAGAGGAGGAAGCAGGCTCCCTGCAGAGCAGAGAGCCCGATGCGGGGTCTCAATCCCAGGACCCTGGAATCATGACCTGAGCCGAAGGCAGAGGCTTTAACCCACTGAGCTACCCAGGTGCTCCTGATTACACATTTTTTAAAAAAAACATGTCCACCCCAAATCTTAAGTTTCACCAGTGGTTTGTGGTTTTTGAGACACTTAGAGCAGGCCTTAGCCTCCTGATTCAATAGCCACTTCATTTTTCAATGGAGATTTTCCTTTGATTAGGCCTGGAATTTCCTCCAAGAAAAGGCCCTTTCTTCCCTTTCCTTCACCCTCATTCCCTACAAGATAACAAGCCTTATAGATTGCAACACAAAGTCTCTCTCCCATCATCCCTACCCTCAGTGCCTTACTTAATGTCTTCACTTCTCACCCAGAGTTTTGCAGTTAGCCCCCTGTGTTGTTTCCCACCTTTAGTCATCCTTCCCTTCAGTGAGCTCTTCTGCAGAAAGATTTTTTTAGCATGGCAACCCAGCCCCCCTCTGGTCTCCCTTGCTTGTGTTCTTTTCCAGCATATCAAAGTAAATGCAACGTCCAGAACATGCCTAGTTCTCATATGCATAAGTGCTTTCCTTTAACAAGACTCCCTTCCCTTCCCCATACTTATACTTCCACCAAGCCTGCTTAACTCTTGTACCTTCTTCAAGACTCAGATTTATCAGAGTCTTGAAGAATGTAATTTCATAGCAAAGTTTCTTATTTCTGTTCTGACCCCATTTTGAGTAAAATTAGTACATTTTGCATTCCTCTATCAAGTTCATTTAGTGATAATTTGTCTATTCTCCCCAGTAGACTCTCTTTACCTCTACCCCAGGATCTATCAGAGCTCCTCGTAGGTGCTCAGTGAGTGGTTGGTGAATGGGTAAGAGTTAAAATAACTTATTTTCCATTACATAATGCTTCTCAGAGCTTATCCATCCTGTGTTACTTGATCTGGAAGAAAAGTGGAACACATGTAGCTACATTTAGATGAAAGGCCATGTGTGGCATAAGCTTCAGCACTCAGAATTTGGAACCAGACTGTGTCTGCCACTCGTTAGCTTTGTGTCCATAGGCCTGGAACTTAACTCTGTGCCTTGGTCTCCTTTCCTATAAAATTGGTATAATATCAGTACCTACCTTGTAGGATTGTTTTGAGGATACACTGAACTATGATACATATAAAGTACTTGGAAGAGTGCTGGCAGGACCAGACATGTGGAGCAAGCTTTGCCCTCACTATGCATGTTGATGAAAACAAGCTCAGACTGGTTCCAGAGACTTGCTTAGATTTCTGATGACAGCCTCCAGTCTTTTATTTATTAATCATAATGGCATAGAATTTTAGAGCTTTCCACTCTATCTAGGTGCCTTTCGAGGAATTAAAACTAAAATCTCTTTTCTTCATTCCCAGAATGCCATGCTAGACTTTGTTTTCACAGTAGATGACCCTGTCACATGGCATTCAAAGAACCTGAAAAAAAATTGGAACCATTACTCTTTCCTAAAAGTTTTGGGACCCAAGATTATCACCACTATCCAGAATAACTATGGCGCTGGAGTCTACTATAATCCATTGATCATGTGTGATGGTAGGGTAAGTGACTTTGGACGTTTGTCTTAACTTGGGTGGTTATTAAATTAAATATTACAATACCAGCTAAATATGTATGTTCTTACAGTCAGGAAGTGTTCACATTCCTGCTGGATAAAGGTGGTTGAGAGAGACTGTTAATTACTGCCTTTGGCCAATGCTTCTCAAATTTGAGTGAGCATCAGATCTCCTAGAGGGCCTCTTGGGCACACTGATTGCTAGGCTCCCCGCCAGAGTTTCTGATTCTGTAGATCGGGGGTGATGTTTGAGGAATTTTTTTCTAAGTAAGATATAATTGTAGAACATTGCATTAATTTTGGGTATACAATGTAATGATTCGATGTATGTCTGTATTGCAAGATGATTACTACCACAATAAGTTTAGTTAACATTCATCACCACACACAGGTTTGGTTTGGTTTGGTTTGGTTTTTTTCTGGTAAGGAGAACTTTCAAGACTTACTCCCTTAGTAACAAGGGTTTACATTTCTGACAGCTTCCAAATGATGCCGCTGCTGCTGCTGGTCTGGAAAACACACTTTGAGAACCACTGCTTTGGTTAGTGGGACAAATACTCAGGCCCACTCAGGATGAGGGTATCACAGGTAGTCAAGAGCATGTGATGCTGTGCAATAGGAACCTTTTGGTGCCAGCAAGTGGGTAGAATTTGAGGAGGCACCCATGTCCCTGTTGGAGAGTAGCTAAACAGCACAGATCCAGCACAGGATTGTCTGATGGCAGGAACCCTGCCAAACTTTCACATGAAGGGGCCCAATCTCTAAGAGAGCTGCCAAGAACTAGGCAGGACTGCAGCCTAAGAGGACCAAGGGGGGACTAAGTCATATACCCCCTAGAGATAAGCCGGCTACTGGTGATATACAGGTTCCATCAGCTCTGCCAGTTCTGCTCTGTGCTGCTGGTGGCTTTGAGCAATCTTACTTTGATGTGCTGATGAATCACATGAGGATCTCTTTGAAATGCAGATAGTGATTAAGGCGGTCTGGAATGGTGCTTGAGATTTTAGGTATTTTGACAAGCTCCCACATGATGCTGATACTACCTGTCAATGGACCAGGCTTTGAAGGGCAGGAGGTTGGAGTACTGACTTAAGGATTTTGAAGACCTGTCTGAACTTGGCAGAAATGAGTACTATGATTGATTGGTGATGTCTGTATAGCCTTTAGGCCCTCTGTTTACTTTTCTGATTGGGGTCTAATCCTGCTCCAACCTGAATTTTGCAGTTGAGGAAATGAGGGTTCAGAGAGTGGACATGACTTCTATAAGGTCATGCAACTCGTTATAATGTGAGAGGCCCCTGACTTCCAGGTCAGCGGTGTTTCCATTACTACCCAGTTGTTCTGTGCCTGCATTAAGAAGGGCTTTCTGCTGTGGCCAGACTGGAGGGAAGATAGTGGCTCAGTGCAGTGTTCCACATCTACTTTAGTCATGCCAAACATGTAACTTTGTTCTTTCTCCATAATTAGTATTATGCTGAGCCTATCTCTAATTAGTGGTTTCAACAATATTATAAGCTCCAGTAGCCAAATGTTGGGGCATAATTACATGCCAAAGGGACTGTACTTTTTAATTAAAATTCTTAAGCTACTTTTTAGATATTTGTAGCCTGAGAAGGCTGTTTGAATACTGAAGTTTAGCAAAGTGAGCCTGAAGTTATTTGTTGAAGCAAATGGGATTTTGTAACCTGGAACAACTACATTCAGGGTTTGTACACATTGCTTTTGAAATGAGCTTGGCCATAATTCCATGTGTTTAGCTCTGATAAAGAGGTTTAATTTTTAGATGTGGCTTTGTAATTATAAGTGTTTGAAATACTTAATAGTAAAAGAGAAATTCACCATGTAAAGGATGTTGGTGAAAACTTCTACGTAAAGAAAATTTCTTGTACTCTGTGATGAACACTGGAAGCCCAGACTGGCACTCGGGAACCTAGTTTTTACTCAGCTATTAATGGTGCCTCCTTGGGCACACCATTTATTAGGTCTCTTATTTCTGAAATGAGAAACATGAACCATATCTTTGCTTCTCACACTGTCTGTGGTGCAAACCCAGTTTTTATTTCCAATTCGGTGAGGACCAGTATGTGCTAGATAGCCATGGAGAGCCATTGTGCCTTTATCATCACAAGAGCCTGAGTGAAGATAGTGATTGCTTCACCTCACATCCCTGAGGAGACAGGGGACAGATGAGTCTTGGAAACTAATCCTTTGTGAAAGATTCTGGTGGAGATGTGTGTTTTCACAAGGCAGAGATTTTAAGTGGTTTTGGAAATCAAAGTGCTACTCTGGTCAGAATTTTTTTTCTTATATTTTGCATTTGCAAAAGCAACAGTGTGGTATTTTACTCTCTTTCATGCCCATATCTTTTCTTTTCTAGCTTATCAAATACGGGGTCATTAGCACTAACAGTTTGATTGAAGATCTTCTCAACTGGAATAACTTGTATGTTGCTGGACGACTCCAAAAACCGGTGAGCAAGTGTCTTATTGGCTGCCATAGTCAGGGATGTCTCTCCTCTCTGAGCCTGACCTTGCTTTGATCTGTGTGATTACAATGAGATGGAACTCCAAAACAGAAATGAATTTCAGACTCCTTTTACTCCATATAGAATTTAGTGCCAAACAATAGCCAGATATTATCCACACTACTCCTGCCTTCTCTCTAAAGATACCCCAGTTGTCTGAATGAGGCTCAGAATCCGTCCATTTGGGCTCAGAAGGATGGCAGGAGATGTGCCCAGTGCCTCAGTGGAACCTCTGTCAGCATGACCCAAATCACCATTCCAGAATGTAAGTGCCACGAGGCACTGTTTGTCCACTGATCCCAGCAGTGCCTAGGACAGTGCCTGGGACATAGTAAGCATCCAGCAAACATTTTTTGAGTAAATGAATGAGTCAGGTAGTATTTCAGAAGGGAGTAGATTCTGATCCCCTTTCTTACCCTCCTCAGGCCCATGGTGAGATCCTGTTTTAAAGTCCTTCCTTCATTTGGGTTGCCACCAGAGGAGGCTGTGGGGGGTAAGATTCCCCTGGGTTTTAGTAGAAACAAAACAGGAAAACAGTGGAAAGGATTTGAACTTTTTTTTTTTTTTAAGATGTATTTATTAGAGAGAGAGCTTACACATAGTGGGAGGAGCAGAGGGAGAGGGAGAGAGAGAATCTCTAGCAGACTCCCTTCTGAGCACAGAGTCGGACTCCAGACTCTATCAAACAACTAACTGTGAGATCATGACCCAAGGTGAAATCAAGAGGATAGCCCAACCGGCTGAGCCACCCAGTCTTCCCAAAGGACTTGAACTTTTGACATTGTATTCTTTTTGCAGATATATAGCCTATTTTCTATGAAGGAGTGTTTTCATAGTTTAAGAACTATGCAGAATAGTAATAGTTGCTAATCTCACAGCAAGGAACAATTTTCTTTGTGCTGTTAGAGGGTCTCAGGCCCCAAAACAAGGTACATGGTTTGTTCTCAAATGTCTCCCATAAGAGTGATTCTGCTGCTCCTCTTTTTGTCAGTTTTAGCAAAAAATTAGAGATTTATACAACCTTAGCTCACTTGGTTGTGTCATAAAAATCTCTATTGAGTGGCATGTGGGTGGCTCAGTCGGTTAAGCATCCAATTCTTGATTTCAGCTCAGGTTATTATCTCAGGGTCATGAGTTTGAGCCCTGCTTTGGTCTCTGTGCTGGGTGTGGATCCTGCTTAAGATTCCCTGACCCTGGGGCGCATGGGTTGGTTCGCTGTCTGTCTGCATTTGGCTTGGGTCATGATCCTGGGGTCCTGGCATTGAGCCCAGCATTGGGCTCCCCGCTCAGCGGGAAGCCTGTTTCTCCTTCTCCCATTCCCCCTGCTGTGTTCCTTCTCTCTGTGTCTCTCTGTCAAATAAATAAATAAAATCTTAAAAAAAAAAAAAAAAAGAGGGGCGCCTGGGTGGCTCTGCCTTCGGCTCAGGTCATGATCCCACGGTCCTGGGATCGAGCCCCGCATCAGGCTCTCTGCTCAGCGGGGAGCCTGCTTCCTCCTCTCTCTCTGCCTGCTTCTCTGCCTACTTGTGACCTCTGTCTGTCAAATAAATGAATAAAATCTTTAAAAAAAAAAAAAAAGATTCTCCTTCCTCTCCTCTGCCCCTCCCCCCACCCAAATCTCCATTGATATACATGAGTGGACACAATTCTCTTACCTTGCTTCTGATCTTAGAATTTAATGGTATAGCTCATTAAAAGATCCAGAAACACTTGATCAGGACAATAGGTATATAGGTATGTTCATATATAATAATTTGTCAGGCTGTACCCTTTAGATTGGTGCATTTCACTGTGTAATTTTTACTTTAGTAAAAACATTTTTTTTAAGATTTATTTGAGAGAGAAAAAGTGTGTGTGCATGTGCACACAAGCGAGAAGAGAGGCAGAGGGAAAGAGAATTCTGGAGCAGACTTCCTGTGGAGTGCAGAGCTTGACTTCAGAGGCTTTATCCTAGGACCCTGAGATCATGACCTGAGCCAAAATCAAGAGTTTGGCCACCCAATTGACTGAGCCACTCAGGTACCCCAGTAAAACATTTTTTTTAAACTTCAGAAACAATAGGCTTACTGAATTAATTTCATATACATAGATGAATTTCTCATTTCTAAGCTGGATAATTAGTAAAGATAATCTAGTAAAGCTGGATAATTAGTAAAATAATTTAATGAATAGATATAATTGAAAATTTGTAGATATTTTCTTCCCAAATTTTTTTTCTTTTTTCTTTTTTTAGTTTATAAAACATGGGAGCACCTGGCTGGCTCAGTTGGTGGAGCATGCAACTGTAGATCTCGGGTTGTGAGTTCAAGCCCCATGATGTAATTAGAGATTACTTAAAAACATGAAAGAGATTTAAAAATAAAATAAATTTATAAAATATGTAGCCTAATGGAAAGACTAATGAAAACAGAATTAGAACCTTTAGGTCTTATTCATTCCTGCCACTTGTTAGCTGTTTATGTGAACTTGGGAAACTTGTTCCTATCTTTTTGAACCTCGGGTAATTTATCTGTAGAATGGAGTAACAATAAAGTACTTGCCTTCACAAAGGTGTTGACAAGTGGAAGCAGAATGATAATGCTGGAAAGAACACGGGTGTTTTAGAATGAGATCTAGGGTTTGGGTCCCAGCTATGACAAACCCCAGCTATGTGACCCTGTACCAGTGACTAAATTTCCCTGAGCCTTGGGATATCCTCCTCTGTGGATTAGTTTGACAACATCAACCTTAAAAGGCATTTGAGAAATGCCTCGATCTAAAATGGCTGGCACTTAATAGATACTTAGAAAATGATCATTCCTTTCTCTTTGTCCTTGCCTTATCTCAGAGTTATTTTGAGATAAAATGAGATATTGAATGTGAAAATGTTCTACTGTTCTTTGTACTATGCTTTGTACTTGGAATATTTCAATTTTTTTTAAGATAAGTTTTAGAAAATGAAATGCCATAAAGTCTCAGAATTTAGCACCGGAAATGACCTCAGATTTTATCTAAATGTCACATATCCTGATAAAATAAAAACAGCAACTCAAGACAAGTAGTAGTTGCTATACTTATCTTGATCAAAACTGCATTTCTCAGCTAACTTGAAAAAGAAAATGTTATTGAGGACAATGACTGCCTTTCAGGCTTAATATTAAACTAATAACTGAAGAAAATTAGGCTATATTAAGACTCATTTGAAAGTGTTGAGCATAGCACATGGTAAAAAATAAAATAAAAAATTGTGAATAGGGACGCCTGGGTGGCTCAGTTGGTTAAGCGGCTGCCTTCGGCTCAGGTCATGATCCCAGCGTCCTGGGATCAGTCCCATACCAGGCTCCTTGCTCGGCAGGGAGCCTGCTTCTCTCTCTGTCTTTGCCTGCCACTCTTTCTGCCTGTGCTTGCTCTCTCTCTCTCTCTCTCTGACAAATAAATAAATAAAATCTCTTAAAAAAAAAAATTGTGAATGGGTGAATTAACTCTTTCACCCATTAGCATTTTCCTTCCCTGTCCATGGAAATCACTGCTAACCAGAGAATGGTCAGTGGTAACGATCTTTAAACCAATGATTTTTTTTACCGCTAGGTGGCAGCAAATAGTAATCAAACGTGAACAAATCTCATGAATAGAAAGGGTTCGTGGTAGCCTTGTGGACCCCCCCCCCCAAAAAAAAGTGGAGGTCTTAGAATTGTGAAATGAGTACACAAATTCTGTTTTTATGTGTTTTAAAAGAAGGAGGTGTTTTAAATTATATTGTCTAAACCTTTAAAATTATCTTCCATATTGCAAATAGAACAAAATTTCTCACTTCAGGTCTTTAAAAGGAATACACAGAGGGTGGATGGAACTCTGTATTTTTTGGTCAGTTTTGCTATGACTCTAAAACTGTTTTAAAAAATAAAGTTTATTTGGGGCACCCGGGTGGCTCAGTGAGTTAAAGCATCTGCCTTCCGCTCAGGTCATGATCCCGGGGTCCTGGGATGGAGCCCTGCATGAGGCTCTCTGCTCAGTGGGGAGCCTGCTTCCTCCTCTCTCTCTCTCTGCCAGCCTCTCTGCCTACTTGTGATCTCTGTCGGTCAAATAAATAAATAATCTTTTTAAAAAATGAAATTTATTAATAATATTTTAAAAATATAAAGGAATACCTTGCTTGAAAAGATGGACATTTCTGGAAAAAAAATTCAGTGTAAATTAAATTTCTATCATACTTTACCATTAATTTACCTCATAACTGAGGTTAGGTAAGTCACTTTTATTTCTAGTGTAGCTTTAAGTTTCTGAGTCACTTACCAAGTCATTTTTCAAGGAAAGAGCAATGAAATTTAAAGTATTTAATAGAATCTTGTGGTCAGCTCTTTTTTAAGTCAAAAGAACTCTCAAGAAATATTAATAGCCATTTCTTTAATTTATTTAACCTAAGTCTGGATTTTTGTATTTCATGTTTTTAGCATATAGATAATTTGGTTTGAATTTTTAAAGCATTTTCATTGATATGTCATAACATTTTGCTACCTAGTTAAGAGAATTTTATTTATTTTTTTTAATAAACATATAATATATTTTTATCCCCAGGGGTACAGGTCTGTGAATCGCCAGGTTTACACACTTCACAGCACTCACCATAGCACATACCCTCCCCAATGTCCATAACCCCCCCCCCCCCTCCCAACCCCCCTCCCCCCAGCAACCCTCAGTTTGTTTTGTGAAATTAAGAGTCACTTATGGGGGTGCCTGGGTGGCTCAGTGGGTTAAAGCCTCTGCCTTCGGCTCAGGTCATGATCCCAGGGTCCTGGGATCGAGCCCCACATCGGGCTCTCTGCTCAGCAGGGAGCCTGCTTCCTCCTCTCTCTCTGCCTGCCTCTCTGCCTACTTGTGATCTCTCTCTGTCTGTCAAATAAATAAATAAAATCTTTAAAAAAAAAAAAGAGTCACTTATGGTTTGTCTACCTCCCACTCCCATCTTGTGAGAATTTTAATTTAATGTATTCATTGCAGTATTTTTTCTCTTTTTTTTGCTAGTAATACAGATATTTTATAACATAAATTATTGAGCTATAATTCACATACCATACAATTCAACCATTTAAAGTGTACAGCGGTTTTTAGTATATTCAGCGTTTCGCAATTATTACCATATTGTAACTTCAGTGATTTACTTTTTGTGGCTAGAAAAATCCCAGTGGTATTAAAGATCCCCGAAAGAGAGTTGGAAAACCTGACTTACTGGTCTTGGCTCTGCCCAGCTGTGAGCAAATGTTTGTGCCCCTAGCCTTTGAAATGCAAAATTTGAGCCATTAATTTACTTATTCAAGAGACGACTAAGTTTCTCCTCTGTGGGTGCTAAAGGAATCAAAAAAATAACACTACATTGCTGGTCCTGGAAGAATCCATAGTCCAACAGATAGATGATAAGGTTTCATTCAGCTCGAATGTTCAGGGTTTCTTCTTGGTCCTCAAGCAGTGACCATTTAGAAAAATTATTGTTTCTGGCCATTTGGAATGGAAAACTTCTGTGGGAAGTGTCATTTGGTTACTAGTTGAGTGAACACTAGGTAGGGCCGTGTTCTTTGTGACTATGACTTTACTGATTGCAATTCAAGGATTGTCTTCCTGTGACTGTATTATAGAGAAAACCACCGCATGTGACTCTTTTCTATCTTGAAAGGTACTCACAAATCTCTCAAGTTGAGCTTTTGAAAGTCCCTTCGAGCTTTACTCCTTCCTCTCTCCAGTAACGATTTTCCCCTTGGCAGTAATGTTAATGCTATCTATGCAGTTCAGGTCGGGGCATTCCCAGTAAGACACAAACAGCTATTCACAATTGGGAGGACTTTTCTTTTTTTCCCAGGCCTCTCTGGCAGTGTCCCAGGAGTTCACTGGCTTGACTGACTCTGAACCACAGTAATAGTGCTGCTGAGACAAGTGCCTAGGTCGCCTTACACTGGAGAGCCAGATCAGCACAGTAGCAGAGTCTTCTGAATTGACATTTTTCCTTTGAGTAAGGATGCTTTTATTTTTATTCTCTTAACCTTACTTAGCAAACAGACTGTTTTTTTTTTCACTAAGTAGAGTGACTTTCTTGGAGAGCAAGTGTATTGCTTTCAATAGGAAAATTTCCCCAAACTTACCCTGATTTGTTAGCATCTCGGAATAACTTCTGTTTTCATTGAGTTTCTGTAAAAGCCACCAAAAAGAGAGAGGATGAAGAATTATTGAGCAGGACCTGGTGAATGAGGATGAAGAACAGGAATATGGGAATAAACAGGCTTCGCAGGGTTTTAGAAAAAGCTCTGGATAAATCAGGGACCTAGGTCCTCTTTTGGTGTGCCACTACTTCTCAAGGGAAGATCTTTTAACCCTCTGGGCCTCAGTTTCCCCATTAGTAAAATGAGGAGGTTGCCCTCCTAGACCTGATTCTTTATGGGATACAAAGTTTGGGAAAGTTATTCAAGGAATGAACGTAGGAGTTATATAGGAACTTAACATTTCTTTTAATCAACTTTCCAGATAAGACGTTAACCAGAACAACAACAACAAAAGTTAACCAGAACAGATCCCTAACTGAATGCTTGAAAATAATTTAAAAAATTTAGAACTGGATCTGCCAAGTATAAGGGTGTTACCCTGCTTTTTGCCATCAACTCATTATGCAATATTGGGCAAGTCATGCTACTGGACTGCACCTTCGTTTTCCTTTCTGCAGATGATTGCAATAATGCTAAACTCACCCAAGTGCTGAAAGGCTTAATTAAGGGCTATTAAGTGCTGTAATTACAAGGGAGGAGTTGGGAGTATTGAATAAGGTGTCTTACCTTCCATGGAGAGGTTTGGTTATTATAAATATTCCCTTAGGAAAAAAGTAGGGACAAAAGGTAAAAGATAGAAGTTAGGTTCTTAAGTTAATAAAATTGTTGCTTTATAATACCGTTTTGACAATGAAAAGAAGAAATTACTTTGAGACATACATCATCTTTTCTCCTTGCAGTCTAATAAAATTTTAATTTCGTTTCTGATAGTCTGTGTCTTTTAATGCCATCTTAATTTTTCTCAGAAATCATCTTTATTTGACAGATGAAAGGCAACTTAAGCCCATTTTCTAGAATTGGGGAAGATTTGGTGACAGCACTAAATGGTTTACAGAAGGTAGATACATTTCAGATAGGTGAGGGTCCTTATTAGGAACTTGCAGACTCTTCCCTTGTTTATAGACAATCAGTTAGAAGCAGCCTGATGGTTTAAAAAGATTATACGGGAAGTATAAATTGGCACAAGCACTCTGAAGAGCCATGTGGCATTTCTACTTCTAAATATATACCTGCGAGCAGTGGTTCTCAAAATGTGAAGGTTCCTTGACCTTCTGAGAACTTGTCAGAAATATACATTTTCAGGCCTGTCTCAGGCCTCCTGAATCAGAAATACTGGGGAATGAACCTAATAATATGCATTTTAATAAGCTCTCCCAAGTGATTGTTGGTGCTTGCTAAAGGTGAGAAGCTCTGGCTCAGGGAAATTCTTGTATTGTGCCCAAAGATAGAGAAGGAAGCTCACTTCAGTTGAGGGTCGTATGCAGTATCTCATTTAATCTAACCAACAACCTTATCAATTTCGTTCTGTTATTAACCCCATTTTACTGATAAGGAATTATGGCCATAGTCATAGAGCTAGTAAGAGATGGAGCTGGGTCTTGAACACTTTCCTAACTACAGTGCCATCTTCAAAACAATCTCAGAGCAGACCAGAACAATTTGTATTTTAATGGATTTGAGGAAAGTCAAAGACAGCACCTTCCACTGTGTATACAGGAGAAAAATCCTTTTTATTGATCAAGGCATTCACTAGTACATTAGGTACTTTACATTTATTATTTCATTCAATCTTTGCAACAATTCTTTGATGCACATTTATCACCATTTTATAGATGAGGACTTAAGTTCAGAGAGGTTAAGTAATTTGGTCAAATTCACGAGCTAGTAAATACCTAGACCTGAGCCCATACCTACCCCCAAACGCATGCTGTTTCTACTCTAGCTAATTTTCTTTCCTTTTTCCCTTAGTCAGGTTCAAAATCAGTTCAAAATAAAACATGAAGTTCTTAGATTATATATGGATAAGAATAGAGGTGAGTTTTAAATAAAGAAGTAAAATGCCTTTGTTTACCACAAAATTAAGTAAATAACAATGAAATTATAAAATTTAAAAATACAAAATTTCCCGAAGGATGTTTATTTCATTTATACTGACTTCTTTTTCAAAACCTGTGGAGAATTTCCTCATTTAAGAGAAATATTTAGTTTGCTTTCATTCCTGCATCATGATATCTTTGATTCTGGCAAAGAACACAAGCCTCTGGGATTTCTTATTAGAATAATTATTTCATGTCTACTGGCATAATATTTCAAGATCTTCAGCGCAAAGGGTTTGGGATAGTTTCAGTGCATGCGTGAACCCATAGCTTGAGCAGTAGTCCACTTTGACATTTTTCTTCTAAATGTTCTGCTTTTTTGCAGGTTAAAATCATAGCAATGAATGAGAATGTTGCTCTTAGGTCAGCCCTTGATAAAAATCTGAAGAGTGCTGTGACCACAGCTTTCCTCATGCTCCCTGAAAGCTTTTCTGAAGAAGACCTCTTTATAGAGATTGCTGGACTCTCTTACTCAGGTTAGTAGACTTGGTGCTCATGTTTTCTGCAGGAAGGAGATGCATTGTTTGAAGACTATGCATACAGACATCCTGCTTCTCACTCCCTGCTGGAGCTGCAGGCCTGCACCCCCACCCCCAATCCCACCACCTCCTATGGGGGGGAGGGGGAGTGGGCTGCCAGAACCCCAGGATTTGCCTCCTTGCCTCCAAGGGCTCTTCCTCTCCACCTCTATATGTAAATCACCCCAGGGTAGTCTTACAGTTGTTACTATTCATTTTCATTTGGAAACAATTCCAAACTGACTGTAAAGTTTCAGTAATAAACAAAGAACTCCCATGTGCCCTCCACTGCCCTTTGCCAATTTTAGTGTTTCCTCGTATTTGTGTTATCACTCTTTGTCCCAATGGTTTTCTAACTCAAGTGTGCATCCAAATGCCCTAGAGGTACTGGGTGCACCCCCACACAACTGCTTTAGCAGGTCTGGGGTGGAAGCGAAGAATTTGTATTTCTAGCAAGTGGGTGAAGCTGATGGTCTTGCAGCGATCCCACTCAGAAAACCACTGCCCTCTCTGTACCTGTAAATACTATATCATGTCTTTTTTTCTGAACTATTAGAGAGTAGCTCACACATATCCTGTTCCCTTCAGGCCAAATAGTTCCAATATATGTTTCCCAAGAACAAGGACATTCTCTTCTATAACCACAGCACAGTTACCAAATTCAGGAGATTTCACACTGATACAGCACTTTTATCAGATTGATGATCCATAGTTCATATGTTGCAGTGATGTTCTTTCCCCCTCAAGTACACAGTCCAGTCAAGGATCGTATTTATTAAAATGCCCTCTCTCTTCTATCTTTTAATCAGGAACACTTCCTTAGCCTTCCTTTGTCTTATATGACATTCACATTTTGAAGTCTTAGACCAGTGATGTTTGTGCCCTAATAAGCAGAGTTTTTTCTCTTCTAAGCAATCCAAGAGGAGACATTTGAAGATCACGCAAATCTCCTGCTTCTTATCAAACTTTCCGTCCTAGATCGAGCATTTCTTGAAGATTCATGCTCCAACCAGTCTTTACTATGATGGTTACAAGTGGGGACTTTCTAACTCCACCACTCCTTAACCATTAAGAAAAAGCTTTCCCATCTTCCCCATTCATTGGTTTATTTATCTAAATCTTAAGTTCCTTTACCTTTCTTCTTAGACAAGTGTGTTCCTCAGAGATGTCAGGGGCCCCTTCAAAAGGAGAAGGGAAAGCTGAGAGGATATAGCCCGGGGCCTCTCACCCTAGCTGCAACCAGAGGGAAGCTACCCTTCCTGTTTAATGTATTAAGGATCCATGTAAAATTTTATTTACAAAAAAAGTAGTCCGTTACTTTAAAAAGTTTGAAACCACTGTCTTAAATAAATATCTTCTTTCCCAACTTTTAAGTGTGAGTCAAAGAACTCTATGCTGAAAACATTTCAAAAGCAGTTTACTCATTTTCTGAATCCCTGTACAGATAAGATTTTATGAAACTATAATGCTGAAAGAGACCGTGAAGGCCTTGTTCTCGAGTTTTTCCCCCAAAATGCAGCTAACGGAACTACAGCTGCAGTTGTAACACTGGAGAGAAGGGAAGTGACATGCCCTTGGTCTTGGTCACTTGGTCAGCTCCACATGGCAGCATCCCCGCCTTTCAACAGGAAACGGAGGGGCAGAGGCTGCTGTGGCTGGGTACCGGAATAAATGGGTCTTTGTGCAACGTGTGGGAAAAGGGGGTCACCCTGAAAGAGTGATCACTCCCCTTGTTCCCTTGTGAAAAAAGATGGGCCCAAAACCTTTTATAAAGGGTTTAACTTTGTGGAAGAATGATGCGGAGCCGATTTCTCCTTTGCCCACACCATTGCCATGCCTTCATTTCCTCCCCTGTGATCAACATCAGCGTAGTGTCAGGTGGATACCAGGAGTTCCTATAAATTCTGAACATTGACTCGAAGTGTCTTGAATGGCATAACTGCCTTTATGTATTAGCAAATTTCAAGTTAGCATGCAAGCTGCTATCAGTCTTCAGCTGATTCTGCTTTGCCTCCTGAAAGGGCCGTGTTTTATATTCCTGGTTTCTCCTATACTGTGAGACAAGTACAGAGTGTTCAGTGAGTTCTTGCTGACTCATAACAGTATCATTGTCTGTTTTGCTTCTTTTATAATTTTTATGAAGGACTAGTGTGTAGCAGTGCTATACCAGACATAGTAGGTGGGGAGGAGGGTAAGTAGAAAGATTAAAATCAGTAGGTGGCAGGGGGATAGATAAATAGATAAATCGATCATTGATTCCATCATTGAATTCTCACGCCACAACCCTGTTTGTTCAAATATTTCCTGTGTCCCTTCCATGTGCCACACACTGTGCTAGGCCCTGGGTATACACTGGTGAGCCTGACATGAGTAAGACTCCTCATGGAGTTCGTGTTCCCTTAGGCAGAGGCAGATAGTAAAGAAGCAGAAAGGCCATTTTAGAGAGCACCAAGTGCAATAAAGAGAAGAAAAATCCTGAGGAGGGTCACCTTTACCTTGGATAGGCAGGGAGGGCCCTCTAAAGTGGTGATGTCTGAGCCCAGATCTAGTAGTGGCAGGGAGCCCACCCTGAGCTGATGGGAGAAGGGCAGAAGGGGAGAGCTGCTTCCTAAGGGGCAGGTCCTAACCTTGGTGCGCCTGATTCCGGCTTTCTCGGCTTCTAGTTTCTCCCATTTCTCATCTTGTCTCCTCTTGCTCCCTTGCCATTATATTATTTATTGCTTAACCCAGATTTGGATCTGAGAATTTGGCCAAGGATCCCACATTACTCATTTCGCTGAAGTTGGCTTCTTTTTACTGCAAAACTTAGGATACAATACTTGGCACATCCTCTCCAGAGGGAACTGATTCCAAACCTATGCAGTCCGCAGTTTATAAATGAGACATTTTCCAAAAAGCAGTCTATCGGCCAGTTGTTTAGAACTAGGAACATATTTTTCCACCAAGACAACAGTATATGATACTCCAAGCCAGGACACTGTATAATTTATGGTTACCTACTCCATAAAATAATGAAATTAGAGTAGAATAGTGAGGATGGGGAAGGATCTAGGCCCTACAGGTAGATACCTTTCATAGGTGTGAGACCTGCCCCGGGCCATGTGTTGAAAAGCAAGCTTTTCCTCCTTGATTTCTGAGAACCCAATATCCTTGAACTAATTGGATTCTATCCTGTCGGCAAACCTCCCAAGCCCCCAGAATATTCCAAACTACAAATTAACTCACCAGTTTCATTTTTATTTACAACTTTGACATTTATTTTCCATGTTGCTCCTAACCTGCATAGGTCAGCATTTCTCCCTGGAATGGGGTAAGGATAGGGAAACAGGAAACAGCATCTCTCCATGTTATTGGACAAGCTCCTGCCAGTAGTTACTAGCAGAGGCAAGATCTCTCTGTATTACTAGTAGTAATAATAACTCCTTACATTTTATGTAGTATTTAAGGATCACTTTGACTAGCCTGGGGGGTCGGTATTGATGACATTATTGTTGTAAATGATGGTGAGAAAGGAGTAGGTGGAAGGTGAGAGCCTGCAGAATTGGGGAGGAGAAAGCTTTCTAATCCTTCGGTTATTCTTAGAAGTCAGCATTTAAGTAAACAGAAAAGGAAAACCAAATGAGCTTTAAAGGGTCACCTTGACCTTTCTCATGTAAGTACAAACTATTAAAATGACTAATTTTACATAATGATCCTAGTTTAACATTTATCAAATGAATCAGCGTCCCATACCTCATGAAGAATTAAAGCTATAATTTCTGCTCTAAAGAACTTCACATTAATAAACATGTAGTCATAGTGAGTCAGTGATAGACTTAAAAAACAACACATATAGAAAAGGCAGGGAGTGTGAAAGAACACGGCTTATTTAGGGAAGAAGGAATAGATTGATGTGACTGAAGTCCATGCCTCATAACAGGAGAAAATAGCACTTATTGTTATGTGCCAGGAACAACTCTCAATACTTCTGATCTAATAACTATTTTAATCCTTGCAGTCTTCTTTCGATTTGCATGCTCATTTATTGCCCTGTTTTAAGATGAAAAAACGGAGGCCCAGATCTTTTGGTAGGTTCGTGGGTGGTGGAGCTGGAATTGTAGGCCATGCTCTTCACCATTTAACTTCACTGCTTCTCAGGTATTTTGGAGAAGAGGTTAGGCCCCAGCCAGGCAAGACAAGGCATTGAATACAAAGTCAAATGAGACTGGAATTTGATACCCCGTACACACCTGGGAGCCACAGGAGGTTCCAGACATTGTGAGATGGCATGAGATTGGTTGCTGTAGAAAGATCATTTTGCCAGCACTGTGCAGGAGGGAGAGAGACTAAAAACAGGGAAAGGCCTTACTCATTGAGCAAATAAGGACAAGAGTCTCCTATGCCAAGCACTCTCTAACCTCTGTGGATGAAGGAAGTAAATCAGGCGGGCATCATCCCTGACATTTTGGGGCTTTCATTCCAGTTGAAAAGTCAGACAGCAAACTCATGGCAGTGCTAGAATAGGGGAGGAAAGCCAATGTGGCTTATAACTAGGGAAGGCTTCAGTGGGAGGTGACATTTGAACTGAGCACCAATGGATAAGGACCCACGAGGAGAGCCCACATGAGAGCTGTCTAGGCAGAGAGGGGTCTAGTTAGGACTGTGCCCATGTCCAACCAGCCTCACGTCCTCGGCCTCTGGAACAGTGCTGTGGCACAAAGTGGCACAGCACGCTGTCCATCTTTGTTGGCTATTGATAGGGTGAGTGGTGATGAGGCCTGAATTAGAGTAGCATCTCAGCAAAGTGCACAAATTCTTAGGAGAAGAATTGACATTCAACCTTTAACTTCTAAAATTAAGTATCTTATTTTGTACCTTGCTGCTTTTTTTTTTTTTTTTTTTTTTAAAACATTCGACTCATGGAAGGCAGAATTAGGGAAGTGTTTAAAAGCTGGGGCTCTAGAGTCAGAGGTCTGGGT